TATAACCTTGAAATGACTTGGTAATGAGCCTTTGTAAACTTAGTATACATGTGCCATTATATAAAGGGCCATATATACTTTTCAGCTCTATAAGAACTGCTAGAGATTGTGCTCTTTTGGTGTAGCCCTAAATCAACTCAGGTCCAATCAATTGAAACTAGAAATAGAAAAATAGAATCAGGTACTGTTTCTTCCCTCAATCACTTTGTAGTCTAGTAGGGGAATATATGATGGTTAAAGAAAAATAACCACCTTCAAAGTTAGTTGGCACAGTGAGTTGTGTTTGACCTGGAGGTAGTAAGACCTGAGTTCAAATCTAGCCTTCCTAGCTATGTGATCCTGGACAAGTTACTTATCCTCTGTTTGCCTCGGTTTCCTCACCTCTAAAATGAAGATAATAGCACCCACCTCCCAGGGTTGTTGTGAGGATCAAATGTAATAACTGTGAAGTGCTTAGCGTGGTGCCTGGCATGTAGTAAGCACTGTATAAATACTAGCTTTTGGTAGCTGTCATTAAGAAGAATTCAGTAAAAATAAGGGCTTACTATATAGTTCAAGTCATTGTGTAATATAATGAATTTATAAAATGAGGTACAGACTAAGTGCTATAAAAAGTCAAAGGGGGAGAGAGATCATTTTTCAATTTTCTAGAGTGAAAGACTCTTGACAGAGTTTAGCATCTTGACTGGTTCTTGAAGATGGCAAAGGATCTCAGTAGACTGATGTCTGGTGTTTGGGCTTGGGGGATAGTCCATTCCAGGTATGGAAAATAGTGTGAACAGAGTCTGTGAGTCAGAAGAGGGTAAAACAAGATGGCAGAATGGTGAATATCACACTTTGGAATTTAGTGATTGAATGTTTATTGTAGAGGGGTAACTTGAAGTGACTAAACCTTGAGATTTTGTTTGTAAGCATTGGAGAGCTATTGAAGTTTATGAACAGGAGAGTAAGCCAATAAATAAGGTATGGAGATTAGATTGAATTGTAAAAACAACAGGAAGCTATCACAAAGTATTGCAGTTGAAATACACTAAGTGCCTAAATGACCATAATAAACAAATGGAAATGATAGATGGAAGAGATTTTGGATAAATCAAAGTAACAGAACTGGTGGTTTGATTGAATATAGAAGATGGGGGAGAGAAGAATTAAAGATATCTAAATAGAAATAATAAAGTAATAATAGCCTCTCTTTTTCTCTCTCTAATACACACACACACACACACACACAGTTTTAGGTTTTCAAAGTGATTTACCTTTCTTGTCTGATATGATGCAAAAAATGGTAGTTCATTTGAATCAACACTCTCATAGATACAGTCACATCAATATCCGATATCTATACTGCATATTGTGACCCATCTATCTTCTCATCCTACATGATTCTTCACCATATTTTCCCCAAACCATGAGGTAGGGATGGGAGTCAACCTAAAACAGTCAAGAGCTTATTCTAGATATCTTAACGTTGCATGCAAACGGAGCATGAGTGGGTCTTTGTTTCTTTCTTCCTCTCTTTATGTGATAGACCCACCTCTTTTTCCACATATCCCTTAGATATTATTTTACATTTTAAAAAGCTGATTAACAAAAAATAGATGCCTGTTTTGCATCTCCTGTCCAATTTTCTGAGATGGTATACAAAGCAGCAGAATACTCTAGTCATAAGATTTGTGAGAATGACTTAAAATATTTTGATATTTATATTTCCATATAATTTACTTCCTTTGTAGTACTATATAGTTTATTTTATTCATTTAAAAAACAGTCTGAGAAGAGAACTGTAGGTTTTATGGCTGCCAAAGCAATCTATGACAACAAAAAACAGGTTCAGAAGCCCTGATCTAGTGGAATGATCACTGAATGGAGTCAGAAGACCTCAGTTCTCACTGCAATACTTACAATACAATATACTCACTAGCTATGTAATTTTCAATGAGTCATTTAATCTTATTGAGCCTTGGTTTTCTCCTCTGTAAAGTGAGAATATTATCTGCCCTATACCTCATCGGGTTTGTTGTAAGATCCTATGACATCCTATCAGAGGATATACTTCAAAATCCTTTTAATCTATAAAGGAACATTCAAATGTAGGTTATTGTAAATGTTAATTACAGCTTTCGTTTTTTGTTCCCAGGCTTTGCTCATATAAACTCTTTAGTGTTTTTTAATTTGACATTAGAAGAGATTTCAAATATAGAACAAGTCTTTGTAGTTTGTATTTGTAATATTTTTATAAGAGATGTCATGGATCAAGAAGTTAAATAGGTTGTAAACATAAAGTCTGTATGACCTTACCCAAATCAATTAACCTCTGAATGTTTACATATGCATATCTATAAATGGAAATAATAGCACTGAACTATGGCATAGGGCTGTTGCCAAGTAACTCTAGATTCCCTGTAGCTATAACATGACATAGATATTTAAACATTAGAAAGTGATTTCAAAAAGGACTTTTAAAGAAATTATGGAAGGAGCATAGTAAAAAAGAGAAATCCAGACAGGATGTTCAGACCATAGTTCTAACATTTTGAAGTTGCAGAGGACTTAAAAATTTTGTCTGATGCCATTGGCACAGATAGAATACAACATTGGATTATCTATAAGATTGACTGGTATGACATGTCTTATGTTCTTAGGTACTAAAATATGTTGTTTCTGGTAATCAAGTCCCAATGCAATCAATGTTTGTGAGGAAATAAATTAAACAGATGTAAATTTATTTACCTTATCAATAGCCCAAAATAATGAATGTATATTCATTACTAAAGTGAATTAAGAACCCAAAAAGTTCAGACCAACCCTTTACATTTTGGAGATTAGACTCTAATTAATGAGTTACTACTTTGCTTTTTCATTTATTCATAAATATATCTATATCTATATGCAAAGAGAGAAAGAAAGACAGAGGGATGGACAAAGAGACAGAATGAGTAAGTTTAGGACATTCACAATGTTTGCTATATGAAACATTCTGGGAAAAAAAAGGCTACAGAGATAATACCCCTGATCTCAATAGTTTATAATCAAATGATAATATACAATAAAAGGAATCAAATAAATGTATATATAAACAGACTAGACAGCATATTAATAAAAGGTATATTCAATCTTTAATTATATACAGATATTTCTAGACCCCAGAAGCTAGGTGGTATAGTGCCTAGAATTCTGCACTTGGACTCAGGAGGATATGAATTCAAATCCTGTCTCAGACATTTACTGACTATGTAACCCCGGTCAAGACACTTAATCCTCAGCCTCAGATTCTCCATCAGTAAAACTGAAATAATAACAGCACTTATTTTACAAGAGTTATTATGAGCATCAAATGAGAAAATATATGTAAAGTATTTTTTAAACCTTACATAAATACTAACTATTGCTATTATCATGACTTTGCATTGTGATTAATATAGTTAATATGTGCCAATCATCAACTTAATTCAACATTTCTTATTCATATTTATGTCTACACAAAGTTTCAATCCCTAGCTGGATAACTCTTAAAGAATATTTTTCCCTTGTGAAGATGGTATGTCCTATAATTTTACTGTGTGTATATCTATCATCTACTTATCTCTGTCTATCTATCTATCTATCTATCTATCTATCTATCTATCTATTCTATCTATCTATCTATATCTATCAATCTATATCTATATATACACACACATACATATTGCGTGTATATATACATATATATATATATATATAGAGAGAGAGAGAGAGAGAGAGAGTGTGTGTGTGTGTGTGTGTGTGTGTGTGTGTGTGTGTGTGTGTAAAACAGGTAGGTGACACAGTAGTTGCAGTGCCAGGCCTGGAATCAGGAAGACAGAGTTCAAATCTGGCCTCAGATACTAGCTGAGTGACTCTGGCAAGTCACTTAATCTGGTTTGCCTCAGTTTCATTCTGTAAAATGAGCTGGAGAAGAAAATGGCAAGCCATTCTAGTATCTTTGCCAAGAAAACCCCAAATGGGGTCACAAAGAATCAGACAGAACTGAAATAAATGGACAACAACAATATATTTGTGTATGCATATGTATATATGTATATATGTTAACATATGTATATGTGTGTATATAAATGTGTGTGCGTGTATGTGTATGTATGCATGTGTATATATGCTAACCCACATTTATGTATATATATGCGTGTGCATGTGTGTGCACATGTGTGTGTGTGTGTAATAACAATTCCTGAGGGAGGTCAAGGTAACACAGAGAAGTAGCAAAATATCTAATATCTACAGGAGACAACAGACAGTTGAAAAAAACTCAAGCTATTTCTTATTTGGGAGCCACAGACAATATAATTATAAAAATTCAAGCTAGAGCTGTGATAGAAAGCATGGTTCTTTTAATCCTCTTCTCGACTTAATCGAGGTGACCTTCATTTCAGCATTCTTTTTTTTTTCTTTTTTTTTTTCATTTCAGCATTCTGATCAGTGTTCTGGTAATTGGCCTTTAGATGGCCAATTTGAGAAGCACATCATATGATCACAGGATTTAGGGCTGAACAATAACTTAAGATAATCTACCCTAACTACTTGCTTTCACAGGTGAGAAAACTGAGCTCCAGAGAGTTTCAGTGACTTTTCCAAGATCACAAGAGTGGAAGAGTCAAAATTTGAATCTGTGTATTCTGACTCAAATTACATTTCCTTTGCCACTATACCGTAGGACTCTCTTTCTCCAATGTCCTCCTCCACTCCTACTGCTCAACTCCAGCCCTCGCTGCCCCATAGGTTCCAACTTAGCTAATAAGGCATTCTTAAGCATTTATATTTAGGTTTAATAGTACAACTTCTGCATGTTAATATTAACCTTTGCTATTATTCAATTACTAGTTTATAGTATTTTGGTTTTTTATTGTCAACAACTGCAGAACTCTGCATAGCTTTGAGCATAGTGCTAATATCCTTTTTGGTGTTACTCTTACCAGTGCTCTCTTTATGTAAGTTAAAGATTCAAACTATGATCACTTTCATTACAGATAAAAAGACTTGTGGACCTCATGAATTTCAGTGCAAAAACAACAACTGTATACCGGATCACTGGCGCTGTGATAGCCAAAATGACTGCAGTGATAATTCAGATGAAGAAAACTGCAGTAAGTAGCTCTCAACTAATATGGTGAACCTGACAGCTTATTCAGTGATCATGACTGAATATCTTTAATATGGTTAAAGTGTAAATTTCATCCTGTCTACCCCACAGCCTACATTTTTATCTACATAGTCACATTTAGACAAGGATATTGCTATTAAATTGATCCAGATTTCAAATTGTAATATTATTGACATAGCTCTGAAGATTGATAAAAAAGTATCATGAGGATTTAATGTATTGCACTAATTTTCAATTTAAAAAAAAGCCTCTAATGCATGTTCATACAATGAGCTGAATGATATGGAGGCAGAACAAAACATATCATTCTCTAGCAGACTGAATCATTTAATTTCAGCCTCTTAGTGCTATTAGTTCACTTATACACACTATTTGATGGAATGTCATTTAGTCTCCCTGGGAACAGCTGCACAGTCCTTATTTTTTTTAAAGTATATGCTTTTGAACATGTGGCTTAAATGGCTTTTCTTTAAAATAAAATTTAAAAAAAAATTGTTGTCCCCTCTTGCCTCTCAAAATGGGTTCCAGTAAAGTAAAAAACAATAATTATTCAATCGTATCTCTTCCCAAGCCAGAATTGTAAAAATGTAACATGTCTAAACTCGCATATTACTTTCTAAATCTGTAGCTTTAAACCCATTTAAAAGATAAAATGAAACACATATCAGACTGAACTAAGATACAATACAAAATGTTATGAAAATGTAGAAGTCCTGTCTTACCCAACAAGCATGTCTTAAGCACCAACACTGTTCAGATTCCAATGCTTATCATAGGGCATACCAAGAAAAAAATGGGAAAAAAGGTCCCAAAAGATCTTATATTCTACTGAGGCATAGAACATGTAAATAAGTACATACTACATGTGATCATTTGATGTTAACTTGCATGTGTGTAGTCAGTCAGTTAGCTCACAATCAGAAAGCATTTATTAACTGCTATGTTCCAAGCACTGTGCCAAGCACCTTAGATACAAAGAAAGACAAAAAAGTTCTTGCTCTCAAGGAATTCACAAAGAAGGCAATCTGAAAAGAAGGCACCAAACAGCTAGAGGGACTAGGGAAAGCCACCAATAGAAGGTGGGATTTTATCTAAAGGGAAGCTACGTGGCACAGTGGAAACAGCCCTGGGTTTGGAATCCAGAAGACTCATCTTCATGAATTCAAATCTGGACTCAGACAAGTGACTGGGCCAGTGACCCTGGGCAAGTCATTTTACCTTATTTGCCTTAGTTCCTTATCTGTAAAATGAGCAAGAGAAGGAAATGGCAAACCACTGCAGTATCTTTGCCAAGAAAACCCTAAAGTGGGATCAATAAAAAGTTGGACAGGACTGAAATGACTCAACAACAAAAATTTGATCTGAGTTTTGAAAAAAGCCAGGAAACTAAGAGACTGAGGTGAAGAGAGAAAGCATTTCAGAAATGAGGAGTGCAGCCAGTGCAAAAGCCACATGTTTAAGAAACAGCGAATAGGCCAATGTGACTGAAGCGTAGAGTACATGGAGAGAATTAAGTATAAGAAGAGTAGAAAGGTAGTGGCTAGGTTATAGTTTTAAAAGCCAGACAGAGGACTTTATCCTTTAATTTCAGAGATAATAAGGGGCCATAGTGAAGTTAATTTTTCAGAGCACTTCTACATCTATAACTTTGTATGTGTCTTTCTAGCTGTGGTTAATGTTTTGCTCTCCTAATTGAAAGAGGCCTAAACTAAGACTTCTAGAAATGAAATCTTCAAACATGATCTATGTTCTATCAGTTCAATTATAACCTGGTGAATCATTTAGCTATTTGGTCAGAAAAACACTCAATTAGTCTTTGCTCCTACACATTAAAAAAAAAAAAAGATTACTTAATTTACAAATGATATAGATCAGAGGTATCAGATATGTGGCCTACACTTCACAAGTGACCCACAATTCACAAGTGGCCACAACACTTCTGAGTGCAGCTGGACCAAATTAAAATGTGTTTGGGAAATATTTAACAGAATAAACGAGAATACAATAAAATATGGCTAATGTTAACATGTGGCTTTCTAAGTCAATTTGTGGTCCATGGGGATCCTTATGAATAATTTAGTGGTTCTCATTTATGTTTGATCTTGATACCACTGATATAGGTGATATTGACTAAGCATGGAAAAGGTATCAATAGTCCTTCTGTGCATGAATATTCCCCATAAAATATTACCCAACCTTTAAGAAAAGAGAGAGTTTTCAAGAGTTTTTGGGTAGGCAGCATGGTGTATTGGAAAGAATGCTATACTTGGTTAAAGTCTCCCCCTAGGTATTCACTGTGACCCTAAGAATTCCGTTGACCTCTAATCTTCAACTCTTAAATGAGCAGAATAATATTTTTACTACCAGTATCACAAAAAGGTTATGAAGAAAGCACTTTATAAACCTTTAGTGCTATACAGGTTTGAGCTTTATTATTACTATTTTTTTTTAGATTATGTTACTCAATTTTCACATGATGTAACTAGAAAATATTGATGGCGTAAGAGCCAGGATTTGATGTCATCAGAATAATGATAATGGGTTAAGATTCTTTAAAAAAAATCATAGGATTATAGCTTTAGAGCTGGAAGGGAGCTGAAGGAATGTCCAGATCAGCTCCAGAATGATGAACCCAAAAGACTTGCACTATAATGCAACTATTGCCTATACAGGACATTTGGAGAAACGTGAAAAATGAAAGACTTTCATCTTTCTTTGTAATGTGTTTAGTTGTAAGTTTCTGCAAGAAATCAAAGTGGAATTTCATTGTAAACTGTCAGCTGTTCAAAAATAGAGAGAAGGGGAGAGGTCAAAGCTGGAGGTGTAGAATTTGAAATAATTTTGTGAGGGTGGTAGTTGAACAGTGTAAATGCATACACTCCCCCAGGAGTAAGCACAAAGGGAGAAGAATAAAATGTCTAAAAGAACACGGCAGTAAAAATAGTAGCTATAGCAGCAAAATATATACATATATGTGTGTGTGTATTGTATGTTTATGAACATATGTATGCATATATATGGGTATATGTGTGTATGTGTATAGTTAATTCAATAAACAACTATTAAGTGCCTATTGTGTGCCAGCAGGGGCAGCTAGGTGGCACAGCGGATAAAGTGCCCAGCTTGGAGTCAGGAAAACTCATCTTCCTGAGTTCAAATCTGGCCTCTGACACTTACTAGCTATGTGTCCCTCGGCAAGTCATTTAACCTTGCTTGCCTCATTTTTCTCATCTACAAAATGAGCTAGAGAAGGAAATGGCAAACCACTCTGGTATCTTTTCCAAGAAAACCCCAAATGAGGTAAGGAAGAGTTGGACTTGACTAAAAAAATAACTGAACAGCAACGTGTCAGGAATTATATTAAGGACTAGGGATACAAATTAAAAAAAAAAAGAAAGATAAGCCTTGCCCTCAAGAAGCTTACAATTTAATCTAATGACAACGCTCAAAAGGAATCTGGAAAGCAGGGAGAGGAGTTGAGGGGTACCCATTCCAGGAAGTATTGTATGCTTCAATGGGGTTGAAACAAAACAGAAAAACAGATGGAAAGTGGAGAATGAGCTGGAAAATCAAAATTTTGCTTTTCATAAAGAAAAGCCCCTAATGGTAAGCAATGCAGTGCTAATCCCTACTGTCTAAAAATTTATAATAATAATAATTAGCATAGATTTATATATTGCTTTAATGTTTGCAAAGAACTTTATCTCAGTTGATCCTCATATTAACCACAGAGAGTAGGTATTATTATTATTCCTACTTACAGATAAGAAAATTAAAGCATGCAGAAGTTGTGACTTGCCCAGGGTCACACAGTTTATAAGTATCTGAGATTGAATTTGACACTAGTGCCCCTGACTAAAGGTGGTGAATTCTATCTACTATGCCATCTGTCTGTTTATAGCCCAAAACAGGTATTATTGATGAATCTTAAAAGGTTAATGAAATGACACTTACTAGCTGTGTGACCCTGGGCAAGTCACTGAAACCCAATTGCCTAAAAGCAAAAAAAAAAAAGTTAATGAAAAACAAAACAAAGTTTTAAAAAAGTATTAAACCAAGAAAAGAATGAACAACAAAGTATATATCCCAAACAGAGTGAATTATCTTGAGTGAAAAGGGTGCCACAAACTATTCTGGATACTCATTGCATGGGCAGCAAAACCTATCAGAATTAAATGTAAAAGATGCATATAAAGATACAGGGGAGACAATGAGTTAATGAAGAGGGGAAAGTGGAGTCAAATATCATTAGAAAGATCACTGATGTTATTTTGCAAATCTATCAATATTAATTTAAGTATTTTTTAAATTGCATTACATCTTAAAGTAAATTGAGAACCAATGTTGTTTAGAGAGCTGACTACAATGGCAGGAAGGCCTGTCCCATCTGGGACACATGATGGTGGTCTGAATCTGGGCAAGTCACAGCCTCTCAGGACTCTAACAAGGTCTTTTTGACCATAAGGTACAGAGACAGTAGAGACCTTCATTGGTAGTGTTTTCTCACCCAGTAGTTCCCAATACCAATAAAATCATATGTCTAGTACCTATCTTGGTTGTGAATGATTAGCAATTTACTCTTGTGGTGTTATGCTGTATCTCTAGTAAGAGTCCATTGAAAGTTTCAATAGAAAGTCTATTTTTTTAAACACATTTATTTTGAGAACTTAAAATCTGTACATATACAAAAAACATCTAAACATTTTAGAAAAGCATATATATCTCATTGCAGTCTGTCTGCAGTAAAGTGAGTTAAAATATCCTTGTTACATTGAGGTATTAAACTATAAACATTGACAATGTCAGAAAAACTGAAAATCCATTCACAAAAACAAAACAAAACAAAAAACAAAGTTATCTTTCTTGGTTTGTATACAGTTACTGAAAAAAAATTTCATTCAGAGAAGTATCTTAAAAAGAAAAATTTTTGTGCAATTCTCCATTTTGAAAAGGAAATGCATTTAAAATTATGAAAAAGTCAAA